TAACTCATGTTACAATATAACAGATTTCCAGGACTTGAGCTGCTGCTCTCTAAACCTTCTGCACTCATAAACTTGTTAGTCTCTAAGGTGCCACAAGTACTCCTGTTCTTTTTGCGGATACAGACTAACATGGCTGTTACTCTGAAATACTACAATCTCAGTGATCATGGATTCAAGTCTCACACAGAAAGGTCTGCTCCAGTTTACCCAGCTGCAAAATGCGTACTTGATCCATCAGGTTAAGCCAATCCAAGGTGGTTTGACATGATTCTGGCCACGTCACTCCTGTCTGTATGATTGACTACGAAACTGAGGTGTCTTAGCTGTGTCCGCCTCATCAGCCATTAGCTCAATGGAACTTTAACTGGGGCCATGCTGCGGGTGTAGCGGGAGGAAAAGTTTTCCCACGCTCCCGTAAGGCCATGCTGCGGGAAGTAGGATGGAGCGTTTTCCCACGCTACCTTAGGGCCATGCTGCGGAAGTAGCGGGAAGGAGAGTTTTCCCACGCTCCCTTAGAGTCATGCTGCGGGAGTAGCGGGAAGGAGAGTTTTCCCACGCTCCCTTAGCCGCCAATCGTGGGGTGGCGCGCGGTGCATGTCGGTCCCGAGGCGGACTGTCCCCTCACTGTGGGGCACTCGGAGTCTCGCCTGACGCCATGTTCCTTTGGGCAGCTGCCGCCCGGGGCTTCTAGCTGCCGCCGCCCCCGCAGCCTCTAGAGCCGCAGTCGCCGGCCGGGAGCAGAGCCCGGCCATGTCCGTCAAGGAGGGGAGCAAGGGGCTGCCGCCGCCTCTCGGCACCAGCGACCGGGCCGTTAAGGGTGAGTCCCGTCAGCGCCGCGACCGGTCCTCTGCGGGGTTAACGACACGGCTGCGGGACATGGGGCGGGGTGAGAGAGAGGGTGGGGAGGCGTGTGTGTACGGGGGGTGCGTGCATAGGAGATATGGGGCTGTATGAGGGGGGGCTGTGTGCGATTGTGGGTGTTTGAGAGAGAGGGGGGCTGTATATGTCTGAGCATGGGGGGCGGGGGCTAGGCATCCGTGTATGTGTGTCCCCGGTGTGTATTGTGGGGTGTATCTATAAAGAGTACTCTGGAGGCTTGCGCACTGTAGACAGGCTCCTCTCTGTGTGCACGGTCTCCTCCACATGAGATCCTTGCAATGTTCTTTTGCTGTCTTAATAGTCAGTTCCTTCTCTCCAGCGTGCACCCTGACAGAACAGAGGAGGGGAGAGCATGGAGTAGTTGCCTCTTTTGCTATTGGTTACTGCTTTCAGGTTTCTAATTCTGATGGATTAGTGGCCAAAGTGCTGCAGTATGTGTAGACCCTTTTTTCAGGGTGCAACAGGTCTGTTCTTTTAGTGTTTTTTACAAAAAAAGACCTTCTTTATAATAGCATCGTTTTAAAATAGTAGCAACACGCATAAATTGTGGATTGTCAGGAGAAGACTGAGTGACCCATTAAGAACTTTTCCAACTTCAATTTGCATGAATCATATAGAACAAGATTTTTATTTTATGGTCTTCTATGTTCGATAATTAAACTGTATTTACCTGTGGTGGGGTTATTTATTTGAAGTGGCTTATTCTTTTGTGCTTGTACAGTTTCTATGTAATTTCAGAGTTGCTGTTGTATGCAGCAATTTGTTTTGAACGCTGGTATCCTTAGAAACACATTGTCTAAAATATGCTTTGAAAGCAACTACAGCCCTGAAGATTCAAATTTTACATAATGGGGAAGCTTGAGAAATTAAAGGGACATATTTGTTTTCAAAGCATTGGACTCCCATAGTACATTTTGTAACTCAGCGTGTTTTCCAGAGTGCTTTACTTGCAATAAGGTGGTGTTGAAGCAAATCAATAGGTTAAGCAATTGAAAATGAACAGTTGCAAAAAATAAAAGTAAAAAATACTACAAATGAGCATTCTGCCCTGTCAGTGGCTCTCAGAGCTGTTAACACAGTGTTGTAATAATGCATAGTGCGGAGGCTTGTAATATTTTTTACACTTTGCAATTTGTTGCAAGAAATAATTAGGTTAGGCCATTCAGACGATACAGGAGAACTAACAGTGAGTGGTTATTTCAAACTGCACTGGAAAACCTGCTGATTTCCAAACTCTCAAACAGTTCATGTTAATCATAACCCATGCAGTTAGCTATTCCAAAATTCAAGTTAAGACTGTTATTTTATACTTACAGAATTGTGTGCTGGGGATGCAATCTGTTTTTGACCCTGTCTATGTTGCACATAGAACCACTGTAAGTGTAACCAGGTTTTGATAGATGTAACTGCTATCAAATTACTATCAAGAAACTAATATGGTTAACTGCCCACACAGGAGCATTTTCCTGATCCAACCATATGTTAATTCTGTTGGCTTGTCCACAGCTACCATGCTGCACAGTTATGTTGTGTCAGTGCCTTCTGGAGAAAATCTGGACAGTTAACCCATACTATCTCTGCTGCTGGTGTGAGGGGCAGAGAATTGTGGGCTTTTTTCACAAGGTGCAATGTGGTTTGGGATACTCTTACAGCAGAGAGCTGGAAAGTAAGATCATTGGCTACAGTAGATGCTAAGTGATCCCATCTATGCAACAGAACCATGTTTGAACCTAATTTGAACCTGACAATCATGTTACAAAGCAGGGCTGAAATGTGCTACCACCTACATAAGATGTGTTGACAATGCTTTGTTTGACATGAACTGTACACAGTCAGTTGTATTACAAAGTGGTTACAAAACTGGTGACATTCTGTGGCATAGATGGGTCCTCTGATGTTGTATTTTCCTCCCTGCTTCCCCTACCAAGTCAGCATAGCATACTGTTTTAGTGAGAATTGTGAGGACTACTACTATTAAACAATTCCTAGTATTAGACATTAAGACCTGGTACATTTGCACCCAAGGTAGATCAGCAACTATGTTTAAACAGTTCTGTCTGCACTGTAAACTTCTACCATGATTGTGAACCTTCTTACCAACCTAGCTTATTTTTCAAAGTGAACCAAAATACTTATTTTTCTTATCAGTAATGTGTTTATCCAAATCATTGAAGTCACTAGTGAAAACTCTCAAAACTCTTTTGCAGGGCACAGTTTGTACATATGGTATTTCCTCCAAACATTTCAATTCACCACAGAATAAAAGCATGCACTAGAAAAGTTTCCTTCCCTTCCTGGATGCCACATCTGTTCCCAGACGAAATTAAGTATGGGATACCAGGTTACAGTCCCTCCCAGCTGATCCATTCTATTTCATGCACCTCAAATCCTCAGAACAATACCAGAATTTAGAAACTCAGCAGAACTAAGGCATGAGTTGCTTCTAAAATCAGTGTTGGTACATGTTCAGCTTTTCAAGTTCTGAAAGTATTGTGTCATTCTGGGGACGGAAGTGAACCCAGGACCTCACAGGTGCTTTTGGATGTTATGAAGCAGCAAGGACCCAGCGCAATTGAGCTCATACAGATTTTGTCAGATAAACCTCAACATATATAAGAACTTAACTTATAGAATATTGTGCACAGATATTTGTGCACCGAAAACAATTCAATGTATATAGTTATATACACAACATTTTTAAGATGATAGGCTTCAGTGCATGCAAGTGTATGCTTAGGGTTGATAATGTAAATGTTGTTAACATTGCTACAGTAAGTAACATTAAAAATAGAAAAAACAAACACCAAGAACAGCCTTACCATGGAATAGTATAGAAATAACAATTTAACTTATGTAAAGATTTGAAAATTCTTACAGTTAACTGTTAGCAAAAATTTAGATATGAAAATTAACATAAGATTTCAACAGTAACCTTAAATCTGACTCTCCCAAAACATAGCTGCCAAGAAATGGAATACTTCAATTTTTCTTGTAGGATGGTTGCTAAGAAAAAAAGTTAAGCCATTTGTTTTAACACAGAATACTTTAATTTATTTATAGTAACTATAAATGTCTTGCACCAGAACACTTCAGGGTCTGGTGCGCACACATCTGGTTGCAGAATACTGTTATATAGACTTTACACACAATAGTTTACAGCAACGTTTCTCAAACTGGGGTCTGCAGACCCCTGTGGATCTGCGAGAATACTGCAGGGAGTTCGCTGGCCCCGCTGATCAACTTCTCCCCATCCCTCCTTCAACTCCTCTCCTCCCCCCCCCCCAGTGCCTCTTGTACACCTGGGAACAGCTATCGAGCAGTGTGCAGGAGGTGCTGGGAGGGAGAGGGAGGAGCGGGGATGGGGCACGCTCAGGGGAGGGGGCGGAATCATGTCCAGAGCCGCCAGCCCTCCCCCCCCATATCAACTCCTTCCCCTCCCACCCAGTGCCTCCTGCATGCCGGGGAACAGCTGTTCAGCAGCGTACAGGAGGCACTGGGAGGTAGGGGAAGGAGTGGACACAGGGCACGCTCAGGGGAGGGGACAGAAAGAGGAGGAGCAGGGGCAGGAAGAGGTGGGTCGGGGGTGGGACCTTGGGGGAAGGGGTGGAGGGGGGATGGGACCTGGGGCTGAGCGGGAGGCTTGGGGTCCATGAAACATTTAAAATTGAAATGGGGGTCCTCAGGTTGCTAAAATTTGAGAACTGCTGGTTTACAGAGTACGTATGTAATTTTTGACGGTAAATCTTCAGTGTTAAGGCTATGATATCTCAGGCCAGGTCTACACTACAGACCTATATCAGTATAACTATTCACTCAAGGGTGTGAAAAATCCATACCCCCCAGCAACATAGTTATACCTAACCCCCTGTGTAGACAGCGCTGCGTCAACGGGAGAGCTTCTACCCCGACATAATTACCAACTCTCAGGGAGGTGGATTAACTATGCCGATGGCTCTCCCATCAGCATCTTCACTAAAGACAAGCCTTAAGAGTGTGTCTGCACTACAGCAGCAGAGCTGCCACTATACCACTGTAGCATAGTCGCTGCAGCTACAGAAGGGGGTTTTCTATTGTAGTAGTAAATCCTTGAGAGGCAGTAGCAAGGTTGGTGGAAGAATTCTTTCATTGACCTTGGGGTGTTTGTACCAGGGCTTAGTTCAGCCTAACTACATCTATCAGAGGTGTGAATTTTTCACACTCCTGAGTGATGTAGCCTGGTCAACCTCAGTTTTAGGTGTAGATCAGGCCTAAGTTATTTATTACCATGTGTTGCTAACAGATACCCTGACTGGTATGGACAATTTTTTTTTTTCTTGAGAATGATGCTCTGGGCTGTGCCTCCAGGTAGTCCATAGTATGATGGTATAACATGATTCTTTAAAAAGAAAACAAAAAATGGTTTAAACATGGCTGTTACTAGCATAGTTTGAAGTGTAGTGTGGGTACAGCTTTAGTTTTTATCACTTGGGAAAAACTGAAAAATGAGGTAGTAAATAGGGAGCGAAGGAGATTGGAGATAAGATAATTCATTCTGCTGGTAAGTGTGTCTTGTTAGCTATGGACAAAAAGTGCTGTCTTAATACAATATTTTAATCACTTTTTCTTATCCGTTAATCAGATTTTCCAATAAGAGAGGAAAAAAATTGGGGCATGACCCACATTTTTAAAACTTTTGACTTCCATATTTAGCCTTTGTGAGAACACTTTCCTGCTTAGACAGACTTCTGATATGAACATTGTACTTGAGAAATATTTTATGCCTAATTAAAACATATTTATGTTTTCTTGTAATGATGGTTGTATATGTTCAGCATATACAATCTGAATATAGTGAAGTTAAATCAAGGCTTGGATTGGTCTGGCATACTATTACATCTATGGCATACCATCACAGGTTACTGAGCACTTTTATTCAAGTAGTGAGCAAACTCAATTCCC